AGGGGATCTGTGCCTCCACCCAGCTGGCTCCAGGATGCATGTCCCCAAGTGCTCTGGCCAGGAGTGCTTGCCCCAGCGAGGAGGATGAGGGACGCTGCCTGTTGAAGCCAGCTCACCCTCCTGGCATCGCCCTCAGCTTGGTGCCCAGGTGCTGGGGTGGGACACACCTTTGGCAACCCAGCAAAGGCACAGGCAGTGGGTCTGTCTCTTCATCTTGTCCCACTGCCGTGAGTCACCAGGATTTTTGTCTTCTCATCTGGATGAGCAGAGAAGCCACAGACGGATGTGCTGCAATCTTGTTGACCCAGTAATCATTCAGCCACCACCAATCCCTCCATCCCTATCACCAGCCCCATGCTGTGCCGGGCTTCCACTCTTGATGGTCTCACCCCAGTGTGAGTATCAAGAATACTCACACCAGTCTTCCCTTTTCCATGACAACTCTCTACGCTTTTCCACTGTCCCGCCGTTTCAACTCAAACCATGACATCATCCCTCCTTCCCACCTCCTCCATCCCCAGGGGGGACAAATTACCCACCACCATACAAAATGCTCACTGACTGGTTCTGTTGGCTTCCCTGAGCAGGCAAGTGCAGAGAAACCTGAGCAAGCCCATTTGCCACTTGTGGTGGTGCAGGCTGGGGTGTCCTCATGATTAAGGTACCCCAAAGAAGAGATCAGTAATCCCATGGATGTGACCCTGCAATGGGGAGCTGCCATCATCACCTTCCCCGGCCCCGTTGAGCTGGACTACCCCACCATGATTTGCGCACTGTAGTTTCTGCTGGTGCAGTTGACTTCATCAAAGCAAAGGACAGAAGGAAGAAAAATAAGGGAAATAGGGGTCTCCAGGAAGCAATGACTGCCGCCGGAGGAGGGTGCTGGGTGACAGCAGGGAGGTTTATCTTCAAGGACATGAGCAGGCCAGAGAAGATGGGAGGTGAGCAGAAGACATGAAACTCAATAGATGCAGGCATGGCCAAAGGGTTGCACCCGGGCTATGCTCCGGGCTTTTCTGAGAAATGCTCAGCTGCTGCTGCTTTTGAAAGCCATCAAACTCCAGGACCCAGCTATTTCCCCCCCATGAGCATCCTTCCACCTGCTGAGCATTATTTTTCATCTCAGTCTTGGTATGCAGTTCCCTGTTTCTCACCAGGGCCTTTGGCTGCACTATCTCTGCAGGAACCTGTATTTTGGGGCCTGATCAGCAGGTCTTTGGGGTCCTGCCCTGGGCAAGCGCTGGCTGGGGGGGGGATATGTGGCAGAGTGAATTCAGGACGGCTCTTGAGCTGGGAGCCAAGACGGCACGGCTCCCAGCCCGGTGTCACAGCACCCATGGGAGACAGGGTGCCAGGTCCCTTAGGACAGGGAACCCTGCAGGGCACCAAGGTCCTCAATTCCCCCACTCTGTCTGCGCTAAGGCATCACAATTTTAAAGTCAAATCATGGACCTGCGTGGATTTTAGTCTCCTCTGAGACACTGGATCTTCAGAAAAAAAAAAAAAAAAAAAAAATCTGTATAACCTCACCAGTGGAGTCATTCAGTGAAAAGCCACATTAAAATGTCTTTATTCTTTCTGCCCACTCCATCCTGTGCTGTCCTGCACAGCAGACTGGTGGAAGATGGTTGAACAAGCCCCAGGTGCCTACAGCTTTCTAATAAAGCTTTTGCTAGAAATCCAATGCTTTTCCTCATTGCAGTGTTCAGGACAATTTTGCATCCTATCTCCACAGGCAATTTCTGGAGCTGGGATGAAAATATCTGAGCAGTCCTTGGAAGAGGGATGTGAAACCACACCTCTCTTCCCCTGGCAGGGATGTGAAACCACACTTCTCTTCCCCTGGTGCTCTGACTGCTGAGCAATTGCCACATAAATATTCCCCAAATTAGGAGCACCTCTGTGAAGATCTCCTGAGCAATAAAACCAGTTGAGCTTGGTCACAGGCTTTTGAAGGCCAACATGCTTTCAAACTCAGCATAATCCCTCATTATAAACACTCATAAGCCTTATGCAAATTGTCACACTAACAAAATGCTTAAGGTATGAAAGAAGATTTAAACAATACCCATGGAGGACTCATATTCCTCCTTTCATCAGCTGAAAAGGTTCTGCTTGATGGTACATGGCTTTACTCAATGCCTGACATCTTTTTCCAGAGACACCTGCGCCCCCCTCCCTGCAAAACAATTATTCTCCAAAAATGTGTTCAACTAAAGTCTTGGGTCCCAGTTTTTTGCTAAGAACTCAGTATGGAGCTCACTGTGCTGTGGCTGGGGCTAGGGATGGAGTTATCCCTGTCCTCCTCTAAATGACCAACTCACAAACACGGGACCTTCAGGACCCAGCAAAGCTCCCTGCGGAGCACCGGTCCAGCTGTTGCTGTTGCTTCTATATCCAGAGCGCACAGGGAAATTACAGTTGCTTCTTCATGTCATTAGTATGCTTATATGTCTTTCCAGATGGTGTTACCACAGGTCTGAGTGTTCTCATGCTTGGAGACTCTGAGAAATGTTAGGAAGCCTCTCCCCACGACACCTCTGGTCGAGCAGTGCTCAGTCACACGTCTCAGCAAATCTGGGCTTCCAAACGTCGGTGTCCAGAGGAAACCTGGGTAACCCTGCACCACGTTGCACATCGCAGGCACCCCTCTTTCTCTGGTGGGGCCAGGGATGCTACTGTGGGCGTGGGCTGCAGGACAAGGTGCGCCCGCATCCAGGGTGGGGTGGCATTCCCTGAGCTGTCACACTGAGCTAGCACAGGGACACGGGTGTATTTGGCTCCTCTTCTTCACAGGGCTCACTCGAGGCAAACGTCGCAGTCGTGCCTGTACACATGCATGTCTGTGCACACATGCAGCAACACAGAACAAAACGTTTCTGCTGCTTCATTAAGAGATACAGCCAGATGTAGACACATCCCGTGCCTGACCAGGGCTATCTGGGTTTGAGCCAACGCATACATATCTGTACAAGGCCCATTTTGCCACATGCTATTGTAAAGAGAAAGAATAAAGAGCCTAATTCCTGAGGTCTGGTTTTGCCCCGGTACATCTCAGGAACTTTTTACTCTTCATTGTCACCCCTAAAACATCAGAAGGTGTAGGATGACTATCCAAAGGAGCACCTCCCAAGAAGCCCGCTTCTGCCTTTTTTTTCCCCCGACCCCACGCCCATCCTCCTTAGCTCACCCAAAAAAATGCTGCAAAACGCAGGGTAAATGCCATTTTGAGACGTCAAACCTTCACGCTCCCACCTCCCCAAGAGAACAGGCAACAAGGCTGTTCCTGTGGGAAGTCCTCCCTAAGCAGGCGCTTCCTGTGGGGCACCACGAGAGGTTTCCAGGCTGAGAAAGTTGCCTTCGGGCTGGTCACAGCAAACCACATGCTTATGTCAGTACAGTGCGGAGCTGAGCAGCAGAAACTCCCGTTTCAGACAGAAAAAAAAAAAAACAACCCTCCCTCTGCCAGCAACAAGTTGCCTCCAGAGCAGGTTCCCCCTCCAGACCAGAGGCACAAGGAACACCAGAAGACTCAGTCTATGATGTAGCATGACTTTAATGAGAAGGAGAAGGAGAATAAACCAGTTCAGAGTATGAGAAGTGCATTTCCAGCGCTCGGTAAAGAAATGGATAAACCCCGGTCCGGGACAAGCCGATCCCTACAAGGTGTTCCTCCGCTCCCCCCCCCCCCCCCGGCCCCCCCGCCCCATGACTATCATCTTCTGTCTACAGCCCGCTATAAGCATTTTCGCCCAGCCAGCAGCAGGTGCTGTACAGCACTGCAGGGTGTGACACCTACGTGGAAATATAAAGTAAGGCTTAGCGAGATAAAGGTATAGAGAGGGACGGTCTCAAGTGACACGCTCGCATGGCTCTCTTCCTCGTGGGGGGGCTGCGGGGGCCCCCCACAGCTGGGAAACCCACGGGCATTTCCTTAGTCCTCTTCCCCAGTCTTGGTCCTGTGCTTCGTTTGTCCTTCCCGCCGCAGCCAGGGATGCCCCTAGAGCCCGGTGCCCAGGCACAGCAGTCCCGCCTTCCCCAGCCCCCGGGGACCACCGGAGGCCACGGGGACCCCGCAGCACCGGAGGTAGGTGCCGACCGCCGCCGACGCCGTGGAGCCCACCGTCGTGTTTTGCGGGTAGGAGCTGAGGATGGGCCCGGGCAGGGTGACCACGACGGTGGGGGGCTGGATGACGGCGGTGGAGTCCCCGCAGCGGCGGAAGCAGGGCTGGTTGCAGCTGGTGGCCAGCGGCCGGGGGCCGCAGGAGGAGGGCAGGCACAGGTCGTAGCAGGACATCGCTTGGCGAGGACGTACACCTGAAAGCCAGAGCCAGGGCGTAAATGCAAGGCAGAGGCTGGTCCATCCCTGCTGAGCCCTCCTGCAACGGCTCCGGTAATGAGAGGCGTGGGAGAGCTACCCAGAGGGTGAGTTTGGACGGCTTAGGAACCCCGAAGGAAGGCTTTCCGAATGGGCAGGATCCGGCTTCCCCCCCTTCCCCTGCCCTGTCACCCTCGCGGGAGAAACCGAGGAGTTCGGTTTGAGCTGCATGGCTGGGGGAGCTGAAGGCACCAGGCCAGACCCACTCCTGCAGGCTGCCTGCCTTCAAGCTGACCGCAAGCCTTCAGCAAGCGAAAGGCTCACCGAGGCACAGCTAGCTGTAGCAAAATCTAGATAAATCAGGACAGTGTGAGCGAGCCGGACTTCACGTGAGCTGAGCTACCCCATCTCCCAAAATAGAAGGGACCTCTGGTGCCCTTCTGTAAGCAGGGACACATCAATCCCTGCAACACTGCTATTCTGTGGGGTTTTTTTTTTTCAGCAAGGAAAACCAGGCAGGATGCACCCAGCTGTGTGGTTACGGATCCTGCGAGCCCTGCACCCCGCAACCCCCCTTGCGCTCCTTATTTTGGAGCCGAAAAGAAACCCTTCCCCGGCATCCTCGGCGGGTGGGAGGGAGGCAGGTAACAAACCTTGAACTCTTGCGGAGGACCGGGCACAAGGCATCGGTGAAAGCAACAGCTCAGTGGGGGGAAGGAGACGGAGCCCGTCTCGACTTACCCAGTCGGAGGCGGCAGCGGCAGCTGGGAGCGGGTGGTGGGGCCGGGTGCCACGCGGGGTTTTATAGGGTGCCCCAGCCCCCGGGGGAGCGGGTGCATACCTTCCGCCTGAAACTTCCCAACAACTGGCAGTTTTCTCCTGGAAAGTTCCCCCGGCTGATTAAACAGTTCCCTCTTTCATCTGTCATGTTTTGCTTCCATTTAGCACTGAGTAAGATTGAAATGATTCGGGCTACAGGCATTAATTACCTCGCTTCCTAAGGCCAAAGTACATTTTAGGTCTTATGCCACCAGGCAGGATAGTGCTTCAGCAGAATTTAGGGCAGGCACATCCCCGGCACATCGCTCCCCACCCTCCTCCGAGCACAACCAATTCAGCTCCCCAGTGCACCCGAGGTGAGCTCGGGGATGTAGGTTGAACACAAGAAACGTGCGTTTGCAGGTAAACTCTGTGCTAGCAATCTCATCGGGGGCAGGAAAACCAGGGGTCTCCTGCAGGGGTGAGGGTGCTGGGAGACCACGCGCAGCTGGGAGAAAAAAGGCCGGAGGGCATTTCTCCTGCCCCAGATGTCCAGGTACGACAGACACGGGGACCTGAGCTAGCCCGGCATAAGTAAAATTGTTAACACTTTTGGATCCGCTTAGAGGATTTTGCCTTTTTTGTGTTATTATTCCTCATGCCCAGGGTATGAATTCTACTTGGAAGGCACATCAAATTTTAAAAGCAAAGTAATCACGGGCTCTGGAGTCTGCTCCTGAAGGTGACGCAAGCCAAAACTGACCGATTTTGCGCAGTAAGCTGATTTCTGAGGCCAAGAGCCTTTCCATCCTGCTCTTTGGATATGCTAACAGTGGTGAGCCAGAAGTTCACAGCTATGCTGCCTTGTGATGGAGTGACATCATCAAGACATTTTTTTTAATTACAAGCTGCGGCATGACACCGGATTGCTCTGCTGAAAGCCTGTTAGCTGCTAAACAGCCGGGGAGTCGCAAAAGTCCCGACCTTTACTTAAATGTGAATCACCTGCGCATCGGGGAGAGGGAGTCGCTGGCGTGGTCCCAAGCAGGGAAGTGAGCCATCGGGCTCTAGGGGCAAGGAAATTTTGAAGAAGGCTTTTCATTTCACGCCAGCAGAGCCCAGATGAAGGCACAAACATCTTCTGTCCCAGAATAAACCATGGGAGTACCGGGGCACATATACTATGCATGTGTGGAGCCGGGGGTTGTCAGCATCACTGGTAAAGACATGCTTTGTAGGGTTTGGGGGGTCATTTGAGTTCCCAGGGTGACTTGGCCTTGCAGAGTCATGGTTGATAGCACTGAACTGTCCCTAGCGACTCCTCCCTGCCCTGCCTGCCAGGGCAAGAGAGCCTTTCAGAGGCGCTGGGGCCAAGCCCAGCTATTTTTCACATCATTCTGGAAGAGGAAAGAGGAAATCAGCTTTTCCGAGGTGCAGCAGAGGACGCGTGCTTCAGACAGAAGCAACCTTGCAGCCTGGTGGAGTAAGGCAGGAGGCTGTGGGTTCATCACAACCTCCTAAACAGCAATTTGGTGAGCAAGAGAAGATGAGGGGTTTTTTTAAGCTTCACTTTGCTGCTTTTTGCACCACTCTTGAATAACAAAATGATGTCACAGGCGCACCTTGGACCCACAGCCTAAGAATTAAACCCTTCTTCTGCCAGCCAGGGTTTCTTACACTTCACTAATCATCTTCTGAGTCTTCTTTTTTTTTTTTGTGTGTGTGTGTGTGTGTGTGTCTGTGCACTCCCATGATCCAAGGCAAAACAGCCTTTCTTGGGGAGCTTCTTCCCAGGCTGTCAGACAGAGGCTGGGATCTTCTGATTTGCAGCCTTGCTGTGTGTTTCTGTTTTGCAACCCGGTTTGTCCCAGAAGAATATCCTCGGATTCAGCGCTGCTTGAAATAAATGCACAGGGACACCCAGAGAGGGCATGTTGCTGAATGTGAGAGGATCTGTGTACTGAAACAAGTCCTTTTCCTGGATAAAGGGAAACAAAAGGCATATGTCAGGAAGTTAAAATAATCAGATTTGTGTAATGGATGAGATTAAAACAAAGGAAAACAATGGGGGAAAGAGCTCTTCCTGGAAATGCAGGTATTTGAGAAAAATGACAAAGACTGTTTTTTCCAACCCTTATTCGTTTCAGAGAATGAGCTCTTTCTGCTTGCGACATGACTTCCTCTGGAGGAACCACAAAAATGAAAAAATTTCACCAAACCAAACACGTCAGACCCATTTTCTTAACTTCTGCAGTGGATTCAGGATGTGTGACCATCTCAGTCCCGGTTCTTCCTGCAGATCAGGGCATGAGAGGAAACACGGCCCTGGGCCCAACACTCGCTCTGTTTCCCTTCCCATCACCAGCCCCAGCAGCACTTTACAACTCCAATTTCACCGCTCTGCATTTTGATTTCCAACCACCCAAGGGCTGGATGTCTCTGAGACCGGCTGGAGGGTGGAAGCTTGCCCCTGCCCCAAAATTTCTCCTGAAAACCACAGGCAGAGGCACATTTTGTGGCAGCCACAGACCCACTGCATCCCATCTCCAAGAGACTCCTGTGTCCAGCACACTCGCCCCGGGGCCGCAGCCGACCTGCCGGGACCGCTCCCAGGAGGCTGAAGGACCCTCTGAAGGACCTTCCAGGCCCATTCAGTCAAGGTTTTCAGTCAAAGCCTTCTGCTTCATGTCTGCAGGACCGCCCGCCCAGTGCCAGGAGGCAGCACCCTGATGCGGACAGACAGACCCACCCGGGGGGGCTGCCCCCTCCACCGCAGCCGCAGAGCATCCTTGGCTGCCCGTGTCCTCGCCGGGAGAGACCCGGGGTGCGTCGGGGCCGCTGCGGGCAGCCCGGGGAGCCGGAGCCCAGACGGTCGCCGCTGGGCAGAGCCAGGCTCCGGCTGCTGTGTGACAACCCTGGGGCTGCTGCCGATCCGGTTTCATGCCGCCACACGGTCCCCTGTAATTGCCGGGTTCCCCCCCCGCCGGGGTGGGCCGACGCTCCGCAGCACCACCGAGGCTGGCACATCCCCCCGCCAAGGGATGCCTCATCGCCATGCACCGGGGCAGGGGCACGCGTGTGCCGGGGCGGGCACAGCCCAGCGGGGTTGAAGGGTGTCCCAAGGGACTCAGCTTGTCTCCTCTCCCCGTTGCCTCTGCCCTGCAAACCCCCGGGGTCCCATCCTGCTGCGGCAGCACCCGTGCCGTACGCCACCACCAGCCTGCACCCACCGCCCCTTCTCATTTCACCGTACCCAGCTGCGAGTTGGTTTTTTTTCCCCGTGGGCTGTAACCCCTCCTGCCCCAAAAGTGGCCAAGCAGCGGGACGGGATGGGGCCGGAGTTTCCCCGATCGCTGTTTCTGGCTGGGGAGAGGCTGACAGAGAGAAGCAGCTCCCAGCTGGTCCCCAGGGGCATCTCCCCAAGGCATGGGAAGGAAACGTGGCCCCAGGGAAGGTCGAAAAGGCAGTGCAGGGCTTGCAGCGTGGGCAGCTAAGCCTGAGCGTCCTCGCCTTGCCTCCAAGCCACGGCATTGCCTGGCCACATCCTCATCTGTGGGAAGAAGGGGTGGGAGCAGGGAAAGCGCCTGCAAGGCTGGCACAACACGCTTCCCCAGCTGCATTGAAGAGCAGACACATTCTGAGAAACACAAAACCTCTCTCTCTGCAAAACAGCTGGGATTTCATCAATTAAATACCCACCAGGTGGATTGTTTGGTTGTTTTTTTTTTTTTTTTTACCTCTTTCCTCTTCATCTTGCAGTAGCTCACCGTCTCCTCTCCCCAGTGACCTCCACTGCCAGCACTGCTGCAGACATGGGTCATGCTGCAGCTCTGCCATCCTCAGAAAAAGCAGCTCCAGGATGCGGCGATGGCTCAGCAAGGCACAGCTTTGCCCAGGGATGGCTTCTGGCTCCCATTGTCAAGACAGAGATGCCCAGGCCTTGCGTACGAGATGCAGAAAGGAATAAATTGGCTGAGAGAGAGCAGAAAACAGAAAAAAAAAAAGGCAGAGCACAGGCTCAGGGTGTGCGCACAGCGCCCGCCCCACCAGCCTGATGCTGGTCCTCCCTGCCCACGGTTTGGTGCTTTGCCTCCTGGAGAAGCCGTAGCTGGCTGGCAGGAGTGCTTGGGGAACGTGGGGGGTCGGTACCCCACTCCTGCGGGGGAGCATGGGGCCCGGCACCTTGCAGGAAAAAAGGGCAACGTGGGTCCCGGAGCAAGTTGAGCAAGTGGGAGCAGCAACCCAAAGGCAGATGGGCATTTATTACGACGGCAGAACAAAAATACGAGAGAAATGAGAAGGCAGGACACACCAGGGGCTGCCCCAAAATCCTCCCCACTCCGCGGTTCGAAGGAACTCGACGAGGGTGGGATTCGAACCCACGCGTGCAGAGCACAATGGATTAGCAGTCCATCGCCTTCACCACTCGGCCACCTCGTCTGCTGGTTCGGGCTCATTTTGGGCGGATTTTTCTTCATTTTTTTTGACCAAAGGCTGCGAACCCGGGGCGGTTACGCGGGGTGTCCTCTGGAGAAACAGCCTGGGCAGCCCAGGCCCTGGCAGCCGGTAGCCCAAATCTGTGCAATTCATTTGCCCCGCTCCGTGTCCCCTCCTGTCCCTGTGTTCAGAGGCTGGCAAAGGGCAAGGTGACATTTATTTTTGCCACAAAACGCCGTGCCCTGGGTTTCGGCACTTGTTGCAGGTCTCCGCCACCAACTTGTGTCCGGAGGGTTTTCCTCTCTGATTCAGCACCGGCTGCGCGGGTGAATGGGGAAGATGGGGGGGGGGGGGCAGCCTGATTTCCCAAACCCCATGGGGTCTGGAGATGGTTTGGGGTCGCCTCTGAAACCGTGAGCTCCCCAGGGAAACGGAGCAGAAGGAAACTCCTTCCCCACGCCGAGTGGGGTTGCCTAGCATAGAAGGGGGGGGGCGGGAGGGGGCCTCCATAGCTTGGGGGAAGGAAGAGACCCCCAGAATTGCCCCCCAGCTTGGGGCAGGGAGGAAAAGAGACACACACACACACACACACACACACACACACACCCCCCAGCCCAGGCACCACTGGGAGTCGAACCCAGGATCTCCTGTTTACTAGACAGGCGCTTTAACCAGCTGAGCCATGGCGCCCACCCGCCCCACGCCCGCGGGGGGGCCCCACGCCCACAGCCCGCTGCCACCCCGACCCCAGGCTCACCCCGCAGCAGCAGCAGCGGGGGGGGGGGGCACTGCTGCCCGGGGACCCCCGGCGCAGGTTTGGGGGGGGCCGGGCCCCGCCGCCAGCCCCTGCCCGGGGAGCAGAGCGGGGCCGGGGGTGCGAGCGGGGCCGCAGCGCCCCCCCCGGAGCCTTCCCCGCTTCCCACGGGGGGGGGGGGGGGCCCCCCGCAGCCGTGCGGCGGTGGCTGTGATGGCCGAGGGGTGAAGGCGTTGGACTCGAAATCCAATAGGGTTTCCCTGCGCAGGTTCGAATCCTGCTCACAGCGACTCCTTTTACCCGGCGGCGAGGGTCCTGGGGGGGCCGCGGGGGGCCGGGGGCCCCGCCAGCCCCAGCCCGGCACAGCACCGCTTCCCTGGGGAGCAGATCCCCCCCCCCACCCCGGGGAACCTCCCTGGTGCCCCCGGAGGGACGGGACACCCGGGGCACACAGCCCCGCGCCGCTGGCCCCGGGGCCACCTCCGATCCTCCCCGCTGGGGAGGGGCCGCCCGGGCAGCCCCGGGCCCCACACCCACCGGCTCTCACGGGTGGCTTCGGCTGCCGAGGGTTTCACCAGCGGGGCAGCCGGGACCCGCACGGGGCCCTGGGGCCGATGGGGGGGGGCCGGGGACCCCGCTGCCGGCTTGGGCTGCGGATCCGCCCTCGGCTGCAAGAGGATCTGGGTCCGACTCCCAGCGCAGCCCCCGCTCCGGGCGAAGCCTGCTGCTCGGGGGGGGGGGGGGGCCGAGCTCCTCTGGGGGCAGCTCTTGGCTGCTGGCCCCTTCTTCCCTCCGACGCTCACCACAGATTTGGGCTGGGCAGGGCGAGCGGGGCATGTGATAAGGAATAGAAGAATTTTGCTTTCGCTAAAAGTAATTAAACAATTACCTCTTAGGCTAAAGCTATTATTAGTACAATGATCCAAATTTTAAGAAAAGTAAAAGACTTTACTAGTGGGGAAAAGGGGGGAATTGATCTGAGGAAACACCAACCCAACAGCCCCCCCCTCTTGGGATGCTCACCAGATGGTCCATATCACAGGGCAGTAACTCCTTTGCAATGGAATGAGAAAGAACAGGACGGGCCATCCCTGGTATCCCTTGTCCTTGAGATAAGAGGGGAACTGAAACCACTGAGCCAGAAAAGACAAAGGAGCTGCAAATTGGCCCAGACTTGAAGAGCCAGGTGTACAGGACCACAGGACTGAAGAAAGAAGGTAAGATTGTAGAAGAAGCCAGGAGGCATGCGGAAGGTGTTGAAACCGGCAGCTGGGTGGATAACAGGGGGTTTGAAACTTAAACAATTTCGTGAACCTGGACGGAGCTGCGACTCCTCGGCCACCCCAGCGCTGCATTTGCTCTCTTACCTAAATAAAGATTCATTAATCCATATTTGGATGTGACTGGCCTTAATCTCCCTATAACAGGGCAGCTGCCTCTCTTTGCGGTGGGGCTACGGGGTGCGGGCACCCGCTGTGCCCCCCAGTGCTGGGCCAGCCGTGCCCGCAGGAGCCCCAGGGTTTTTCTGGGGGTCCCTTCCACCCCCAGAGGCGGGTGGGAGTGGGGCGTGGGGAGGCAAAAGCTGGAGATGCTGGGGGTCGAGCCCAGGGCCTGTTAGACGCAAAGCAAGCGCTCTCCCGCTGAGCTCGATGCACCCACCCGTGGGGTGCCCACGCAGGGCCCAGTGGCCCCATCCCAGCATTGGCAGCATGGGAGCTTTGGGAAATTGGTGTGGACTGAAGGCGCGTGGGCTCCCCACGGGGGCCGTTTGCGGGCCGGTGGGGGCTGTCGGGGCTGCCCCTGCCCCCCCGTGTGTGCAGAGAGCAGCGGGGCCGCATCCCCGAGGGGGGCTGGTCCCAAAAGGGGGGGCTCGTCCGGGAGTTGAACCCGGGACCTCTCGCACCCAAAGCGAGAATCATACCCCTAGACCAACGAGCCGCGGCGCTGCGCCCCCCCGTGCCCCCCCCGGCTCGGTGCCCCCCCATTTCGGGGCGCTGGGGGCGGGGGCGGCGGTGGGTGCCCCTCGGCGCGCGCGGGGAGCGGGGGGCTCCCTCCTGCTTCCCTGCTCCGTGGATCCAGCAGCTGCATTTGTCCCGCTTCCCCTCCCGGGTGACCCCTGACTTTTGGGGCGCCCACCCGCCGGCGGGCGCAGCCCCCGCGGGGACGCGGCACGGAGGGGACGGGCGCCCCCCCCGCCTCGGACAGGGCCCCTCCGGCGGGGGCTCCCACCGCTGCCGGCACCCAGCTGCTGCCCGCGGCCCCGTGGGCAGGGACGCGGCTCCGCCGTGGGCGGGCTCGGCCCCTGCCGGGTGGGGAAGGGTCTGTCGGGGCATTGGGGGACGGCGGAGGGGGAGCCCCGCTGCCCCCCCCCCGCGTCCCCGGCGGGCAGGCGAGGGTGGGGGCTGCATCCCGAGCAGCGTGTCCGCCCCACAGGCCCCGTCCGTGCCAGTGGCGGCCCCGGCGGGGCAGCCGAGGGCCCCCCCGCGCGTGGCAGGGCCCGAAGCCCCCGGGCAGCAGCCGTGGGTGGGGGCGGGAGGGCGGCGGGGAGGGAAGCGGCGACGGGGATTTCGCGGGGGGGCTGAGCGAGTGGGGGGGGAGGTTTTGAGTCGGGGGGATGTAGCTCAGCGGGAGAGCGCTTGCTTTGCGTGTAAGAGGCCCTGGGTTCAACCCCCAGCATCTCCAGCTTTTGCCTCCCCAGAACCCCCCTCGCAGCCGGCTCTGGCGGTGGCAGAGCCCCCCAAGGCTCCCCAGAAATTTCTGTGGCTTCCCGTGCGCACGGCTGGCCTGAAGATGGGTCCTGGTACCCACAGGCTGCGAGAAAATGCCCCGTGGGCATCTCCCTCCCCTGCGTGGGTACTGCTGGTTTGTGGGGTACGTTGTGTCCCTTCCCCAGGAGGGACAAAAGTTGTTTTCGGAAACAGGTGCTGAGCTGTGGAGGCCGCCCGTCCCTGCTGTGTCGGGGCAGCGTTGCCCCCTCCGTGCCGTGTCCCCGCGGGGGGTGTGTGTCCCAAAAAGGGGGGGCTCGTCCGGGAGTTGAACCCGGGACCTCTCGCACCCTAAGCGAGAATCATACCCCTAGACCAACGAGCCGCGCCGCTGGGCACCCCCCCCGCGGCACCCCAGAGCCCCCTGCCCCCCCCCGAATTGCGGGACCGGGGCTGCAGCCGGGGCCGGGGCTTTGGCGCGGCACACGCGCGGGCTGCGCGCCCACGGGAGCATCGCCAGGCCGGCCGGGCCCGCGGGCAGCCCCCGGCGTGCTTTGGGGGCTTCTGGGGGGCTCTGCCACCCCCAGAGCCGGCTGCGGGGAGGCAAAAAGCTGGAGATGCTGGGGGTTGAACCCAGGGCCTCTTACATGCGAAGCAAGCGCTCTCCCGCTGAGCTACATCCCCCTGCGTGGGAGATGCCCACACCCCATGTCCTGCTGCCCACTCTGCTCCACTTGGCCCTATAGACTTGGGGGCCAGTTGCCATGTCTTGTCTACAGCCAGGGCAGAGGGAGGGGGATGTCCCAGCTGTGATCATCCATCAGGGACAAAAAGACCTCCCTGAAGTCCCATCCCACCCCAACCAGTTCCCCCAGCACTGGAGCTCACACTGGGGGTTCCTGACAATCCGCCAAACTTCATCACATTGGTCTAGGGGTATGAATCGTGCTCTGGTGTGAGTAGAGGTCCTGGGTTCAACTCCTGCATGAGTCCCCCCATTTTTGGGGCACCCACCCTCCTCGGTGGTCCTGCATGGCCATCACCAGCGCTGCCCTGGCTGCACTGTCTCGTGCCGTGCCACTGGGCAGGGTGTTTGGGGTGGACATGTCCCCACAGCCACGGTGTAGCCCCTGAGAACCAACATCTGAGATGGTGGAGGCTCTGCTTTGGGGGCCGGGGCGCTGGGGGCAGAGCGGGGGCAGCGCTGGGGGGGCAGGGAGCTGCCCAGGTCCCGCCCCTGCCCACGCAGGGGGATGGAGCTCAGCGGGAGAGCACTTGCGTTGCGTGTAAGAGGCCCTGGGCTCGACCCCCAGCATCTCCAGCTTTTTGCCTCCCCGCAGCCGGCTCTGGGGGTGGCAGAGCCCCCCAGAAGCCCCCAAAGCACGCCGGGGGCTGCCCGCGGGCCCGGCCGGCCTGGCGATGCTCCCGTGGGCGCGCAGCCCGCGCGTGTGCCGCGCCAAAGCCCCGGCCCCGGCTGCAGCCCCGGTCCCGCAATTCGGGGGGGGCAGGGGGCTCTGGGGTGCCGCGGGGGGGTGCCCAGCGCCGCGGCTCGTTGGTCTAGGGGTATGATTCTCGCTTAGGGTGCGAGAGGTCCCGGGTTCAACTCCCGGACGAGCCCCCCCTTTTGGGACCAGCCCCCCTCGGGGATGCGGCCCCGCTGCTCTCTGCACACACGGGGGGGCAGGGGCAGCCCCGACAGCCCCCGACTGCCCGCAAACGGCTCCCGTGGGGAGCCCACGCGGATTCTCCTTCAGCCCACACCAATTTCCCAAAGCTCCCATGCTGCCGCCGCCGGGACGTGGCCACTGGGCCCTGCGTGGGCACCCCACGGGTGGGGGCATCGAGCTCAGCGGGAGAGCGCTTGCTTTGCATCTAACAGGCCCTGGGCTCGACCCCCAGCATCTCCATGTCCTTTTACCCCCCTGAATCCTGTTGTCTTCCTGGGCATTGCTGGAGGCCGCTTCCCCTTGACACCAGCGGCAAGGCTCCCTGCTGCAACTGGATTATTTTTTCCCAGGCATCCATGAATACCCCCAGATTTTCCCTTTTCCCAACCACGGCACGTCCGGCTACTGGGACCGCCTGTGAGTCCCGGTGACGTGGAATCCTCAGACACAACATGCACGATCAATGTGATCAAGTTAATGCCACTTTATTAAAGGATACACAGCAATTTGTACACTCACACAAAGCGCACGCGTTACATTTTGGTTGCTAATAGGTTAAAGCTGCTCGTTCACACGCCTTGCTCTGCCTGCCCTACCTACATTCTGTTTGTGCATCTTGTTATCTTCTTTTTTACATTCCAACCTCCTTACCTCCCCGCAACACAGGCAGTTTCTCAAAACCCCAACTTCCTTATCTCTTTCGACCTTGCATAAGTCCTTCACAACACCTGCAGTTGTGAGGCCCCTCGGTCTGGATCGCTCATAATATGCCCAATTTCTTCCAGCCACTCCACATCCCGGGGCTGAGCTGATGCCCCCAAAACGCACTGGGGGACGTTTTGTGCAGCGCAAAGCCGGGGTGTCCCCACGCCGCCAAGGGGGGACACAGGGGCTGTGATGGCCGAGGGGTGAAGGCGTTGGACTTGAAATCCAATAGGGTTTCCCTGCGCAGGTTCGAATCCTGCTCACAGCGACTCCTTTTACCCACGGCTGCGTGGGGTTGGGGGCCGGGGCAGCCCCACACCTCAGGAGCCGGTGGCTGGCGAGCAGCAGGCAGGGCGAGAGCTGGGGGAAGCTGCCCTTCCACTGCGCTGGGATCCAGGGGGGCAGTGGGACCTTGGGTTCAACTCCTGGATGACCCCCCCGGTTTGGGACATTCACCCGCTGCCGGGCGCAGCCCCCGCGGGGACACGGCACGGAGGGGGCGACGCTGCCCCGACACAGCGGGGACGGGCGGCC